CAAGCCCCAGGAGAGCACAGGGGAACTTTTCTGCCCCCACCTCTCACCGCTTCTGAGCTGGGTGGGGACAGAGAACACAGCAAGGCCTTTCCTGAGAACAGACTTCAAAAGGTCCACATCCAGACTTTAAGAAAGCCTCAGGCCCGGCACCAACTCCCCTCCTCCCGCGGGTCAGCACTCTGTTCCAGTTCTATTCCTGCAAGTGTCCTTGCCCATCCAGGCTGCTGGGGGGCTCTAGATAGCACTGGGTCCCGTCCCCTACTCAGGGGGAAGACCAGAAAGTGGAGGGCGGAGGCCCTTGCCCTTGACTGAGACCCACCTGGGCTCAGCTCTCCTGCTAGCTTTGAACCTAGTCAGGGTGTTCCTGTCTGACCCCGCAGTTATTCTTTCTGTTGTGCAAAGCAGGTGAAGCTCGGAGGCTGAGTAACCTGCAAGTTCCCCTTCTCCCGTGGCCCCATAAAGGGGCACGCTGCCAGAGAAGGCTGCCTGCCTGGAGAGTAGGTGTTCGTTCACAGGTGAGGGCTTCGGGCCTTGCCCTGCCTATAAAATAGCTCTGCCGCCCCAGCCTGAAGGCTACTGTTTGCCAGAAACTTCAGCTTCTTTCAAATGCAAATACGCCACAGAGGCAGCCCACGTGAGGACCTGTGCTCATTTACACCTGCTTTGAATAAGCGCCTTCGGGAGCCCTTCCTGAACTCAAGACTAATAATAAGTACTATTATTATGTACTCATATTTTTTGGCACAAACAATATTACAACAGTACTAGAAGTCAGAAAAAGAATCTTCCACAATCCCAAACCTAGTAAGTGGGCGTTTCGGTTTTCTTTCTCCCCCAGTTCCTCTCCAGCCCTCTCCAGGCACAGAAAACAACGTTTCACAGCCAGTCTCCTGCCCAGTGCAATTTTGCGATCAACACGGCCTTCGCACGTTGCAACGATCTTCCCAATCAGCTCTGCAGAGGGCTGTGCCGCTTACCAGTGCTCAAGAGCTGGATTCGTAGCTTCCTTCATTTCCTGCTGTTAGATAAAATGCAGAAACTGTTCAAAGAGCTTTTCCATTCTTTGAGGATTATTCCTTTAGGATGCATTCTCAGGTATGGGATTGTGGGGTTACAGGTGATGTATATTTGTGTGACTCTTGAAAGAGAGCTGAATCCAGGTTTTGCCCAGAGCCTGCAGACAGCTGGTGCCTGGGAGGCTGAGAGAGAGCAGGAGTGAGGAAAGGGGTCTCTGGGTTCACTGGGCAGTCAGCATTTTTTAAAATATATATATATATTTTATTGAAGTATAGTTGACTTACAATGTTTCAGGTGCACCGTAAAGTGATTCAGTTATACATATACACATGCATTATTTTAAAAATTATTTTCCATTATAGGTTATTACAACATATTGACTATTGTTCCCTGTGCTATACAGTAAACTTTTGTTGCTTATTGCATATCTATTTTTTTAAATTAGAAATCTAGCATTCTATTCACACTAAGTCAAACATGTGGAATCAAAATGTCATAAATTTTTTCATTAGGCAAAAATTCATGTTTCTAAAATATATATAATATATATACTATCTATCTATATGTATACAAAAGCTTTTCTACTATGCTTGATCAAGGCTTGAGAAAGAACATCAAAAAGAAAAGAGATGGAGAAATTGGAAAACATAAACTACATGAAATGGGAGCACTGAATATGAAAAAGAAAAAGTGAGACAAACTAGTTAAAAATAAGAAACCATCATGTTGTACAGTGTTTTTAAACATGGCTGCTCATTAGAAACATATCTGGAGCTTTGGAGAAAAAAAAGCAATACCTAGACATTTGTATTTTTCAAAAACATTCCAAGATAATTGTGATATACATCTGGATTTTTAAAAATGATTACAGGTTTGTTTGTTGATTAAATGGTAATTTTGGTGATATAGAATTCTATTACTTTTCTGCTGACCATTCCTGATACAGTGGTAATTAAGTGAGTAATAATTTCATAATCACAATAGTAAAAAATTTTTATCAGCTTTACAATCAATAACCAGACAAAAAATTAAAGATAATTATAATTGCAAGCCATAATGGGAATATGATTAATGTAACAATATAAAATAATTACATACAATTTGGAGGATCAAGCAGAATGATGTGGTAAGTGGAAGTGCATACATACACATATTTTCATCTGCCCAGCCAGTCTATATCTTTTGGTTTGTGCATTTAATCCACTTATATTTAAGGTAATTATTGATATGTATGGGCTTCCCTGGTGGTTCAGACAGTAAAGAATCCACCTGCAACCTGTGGGAGACCTAGGTTTGATCCCTAGGTTGGGAAGATCCCCTGGAGGAGGGCATGGCAACCCACTCCAGTATTCTGGCCTGGAGAATTCCATGAACAGAGGAGCCTGGTGGGCTACAATCCATGGGGTTGCAAAGAATTGGACACTACTGAGCGACTTAAACTTTCACCTTTCATTGATATGTGTGATCCTATTACCATTTTCTTAATTATTGTGGGTTTGTTTTCTGTAGATCTTTTCCTTCTCTTGTGTTTCATACCTAGAGAAGTTCCTTTAGCATTTGGCGTGGAGCTGGTTTGGTGGTGCTGAATGCTCTTAACATTTGCTTGCCTTGGAAAGCTTTTGATTTTTCCATCAAATCTGAATAAGATTTTTGCTGGGTAGAATATTCTTGGTTGTGGATTCTTCCCTTTCATAACTTTAAATATATCATGCCATTCCCTTCTGGTTTGTGGTTTCCGTTGAGAAATCAACTGATAACCTGATGGGAGTTCCCTTGTATATTATTTGTCATTTTTCCCTTGTTGGTTTTAATATTTTATCTTTGTCTTTAGTTTCTGTCAGTTGGATTACTGAGTCTCCGTGTGTTCCTCTTTGGGTTTATCCTGCCTAGGACTCTGTGCTTCCTGGACTTGACTATTTCCTTTCCCATGTTAGAGAACTTTTTAGTTATTACCTCTTCAAATATTTTCTCAGGTCCTTTTTCTCTCTCTCTTCTCTTTCTGGGACCCCTATAGTGCAAATGTTCTTGTGTTTAATGTTGTCCCAGAGGTCTTTTAGGCTGTCTTTTTTTTTTTTTTTTTTCATTCTTTTTTCTGTATTCTGTTCTGCAGCAGTGATTTCCACCATTCTGTCCTCCAGGTTATTTATCCATGCTTTTGCCTCAGTTATTCTGCTATTGATTCCTTCTAGTATATTATTTATCTCTGTCTGGCTAGGGTTCGGAACCACTGGACCACGTGTTACATTTTCTTATTAGGGCATTTTTGGATGCAGTCACAGAGGACTTCTGAGGCTAGGTGGGGAAAACAGAGGTAACTTGGTGCCTGCAGGGGGAGAGTGGGCTAAACCCTTTTCATAATCCCTGACTGCTCACCCCCAAGTCACCCCAAATAAAGCCCCACTCAACAAAAACAGTGCACTTCTTTGCTAACACAGCTTGAAGACCAGTTCTCTAGCTCTCCCCTGGCAAGCAGGGGGCTCCCTCAAGGCCCTGTGTGTAGAATAATTGAGGCCTTCAGCTACTATAAAGACACTGCCTGGGCCTGGGAAGCTGGCATCCGAAGCAGAGGCAGCTTCTGAACAACACGAGTCTGCTGACCCCTCTCACAACATGTTTCAATCTGAGCATCTTTACTTAGGTCAAATGACCTTGAAGGCCTTTCTGGATTCTCTGGATCTCGATGTATACCAGTCCTGAGGAGCCCACTTGGCACAGGGCAGGCCTATGGCTTCCTTCAGGTCCTTGGGATAACAGACTCATCAGTTTTCGTTCCAGTCCTGAAGAAGGGCAATGCCAAAGAATGTTCAAACTACCACACAATTGCGCTCATATGCTAGCAAGGTAATGCTCAAAGTCCTTCAAGCTAGGCTTCAACAGTATATGAACTGAGAACTTTCAGATCTACAAGCTGGATTTAGAAAAGGCAGAAGAACCAGAAATCAAATTGCTAACATTCGTTGGATCACAGAAAAAGCAAGAGAATCCCAGAACATTTCCTTCTGTTTCATTGACTACACTAAAGCCTTTAACTGTGTGGATCACAAAAAAACTGTGGAAAATTCTTAAAGAGATGGGAATACCAGACCAGCTTACCTGCCTCCTGAGAAACCTGAATGCAAGTCAAGAAGTAGCAGTTAGAACCAGACATGGAACAATGGACTGGTTTCAAATTGGAAAAGGAGTATGTCAAGGCTGTATATTGTCACCCTGTTTATTTAACTTCTATGCTGAGTACATGATATGAAATGCCAGACTTGATGAAGCAGAAGTCGAATCAAGATTTCTGGGGGAGATAGTGATAATCTCAGATATGCAGATAATACCACCCTTATGGCAGAAAGCGAAAAAGAACTAAAGAGCCTCTTGATAAAGGTGAAAGAGGAGAGAAAAAGCTGGTTTAAAACTCAACAGGAAACAATGGAAGCAGTGACAGACTTTATTTTCTTGGGCTCCAAAATCACTGCAGATGGTGACTGTAACCATGAAATTAAAAAACACTTGCTCCTTGAAAGAATAGCTATGACAAACCTTGACAGCATATTAAAAAGCAGAGACATTACTTTGCCAACAAAGGTCTGTCTAGTCAGAGCTATGGTTTTTCCAGTAGTCGTGTATGGATTTAGAGTTGGACCATAAAGAAGGCTGATCACCGAAGAATTGATGCTTTTGAACTGTGGTGTTGGAGAAGACGCTTGAGAGTCCCTTGGACTGTAAGGAGACCAAAGTAGTTAATCCTAAAGGAAATCAACCCTGAATATTCAGTGGAAGGACTGATGCTAAAGTTGTAGCTCCAATACTTTGGCCACCTGATGCAAACAACTGACTCATTGGAAAAGACCCTGATGTTGGGAAAGATTGAAGGCAAGAGGAGAAGTAGACGGCAGAGGATGAGATGGTTGGATGGCATCACTGACTCAGTGGACATGAGTTTGAGGAAACTCTTGGAGATGGTGATGGACAGGGAAGCCTGGCGTGCTGCAGTCCACGGGGTCACAAAAAGTTGGAGATTACTGAGCAACTGAACAGCAACATGTCTCTCCCTAGGGAGGCTCTCTGACCTAGCCTTGACCAAGGTGAGTCCCAGATAAGGTGGGTCCTCTTCCTCCCCTCTCAGCATCTTACCTGCTTCACACATACTCTTCATGGTTCAGCCTTTCATGTTCCACTCTCCTCACTCCTGCTCTGAAGACAGGATCCACACCTGCAGAGAGACGGGGCCCCCCACCCCGGGGGGGGGGGGGGTCTGTCTGGGCGTCTGAGCTCTCTGCTTAGAATGCCAAGTTTTGTTGCTTCCTGGCAATGGGCTGTCAGCTCCTGGGTATCAGAAGAGGAGCTGGGGCACAGGGCTGGGTGAGCACAGGTCCCCCATGATGAAAAGGTGTTAGAGGAAGCAGCTCAGAAGGTGCTGTTGAAACACCACAGTCAGACTAAGAAGTGGTGGAGAGGAAGTGAAAAGGAAGTGAGCCCCTCAACTGCATACTCCCAGCAAGATCCCCATGTGGCTTTAGTCCCCATTCTCCTTGTAACACGACCAGACCAGAGAAGATGCTGTAGGAGTGGGTGAGATGAGGGAGAAATTGAAGAAAGAAGGAAAAGAGACTGATCTCAAGGGGCCACCAGGTGCCAGCAGTGGGAGGGAAGATACAATTCAAGCGGGTTGAATTGCATCCCCTAAAAAGATGAGTCTGCATCCTGACCTCCAGTCACTGGGACTGGGACTTTATTTGGAAAGGGGTCTTTGTATATGTAACTAGGGATCTCTCAAGATGAGGTCATCCTGAATTCAATGGCTGGTGTCCTTACCCAAGGGGGAGAAGATGCAGTGACAGGGCCATGGGAAGAGGCAGGCAGAGGCTGGAGCAATGCCGCCACAAGCCAGGAACGCTGAGATCCACCAGAAGCTGGAAGGGATGTGGACACAACCTCCCATGGAAGCTTCAAACGAAGCATGGTCCTGCTGACGCCTGAATTCAGGGCTTCCAGCCTCCAGGGCTGTGGGATAATAAGCTTGTGTTCTTGTGTGGTTGTTTGTTACAGCAGCCCTGGGAGACTAATACTGGTGCTGCCCACTTGTGTGAGCACAGTGACTGAAAGGAAAGCTCTTTCAGAAGTTCCCATCAACCACACGCTCTCCCTGAGCGGCCGTTTCTGCCTCTGTAAAAGGAGGCGAGTGCTTCCAGCCCTGATGAGATGATGGCTGGAAAAGGGCCTTGTCAGCAGGGCAGTTCTGATGGGGTGGGGGAGGAGCTGTTAGATCCCCACGGCTGGGTGAGTCCTGGCACCTCTCCCGGCCTCAGTTTTCTCAAAGTGGAGCCGGAAGCCCTGCCCTCATGATGCCACTGCAGGAGAGATGAGAGGCGGGAGGGCTCTGATGGGTTAAGTTAGGGCTGCGTGCAAGAGAGCTGAGAACGCACAGCGCCCTGAGGACTGCCGTTAAGTGGAGGTGAGAGTTTCTTTTGCACTGTTTTTTTTTTTAATGGTTTTATTTATTTTTAAATGGAGTATAGTTGCTTTACAATATGGTGTCCATTTCTGCTGTACAACAACATGAATCAGCTATATGTATACATATACACCCTCCCTCTTGGGTCCCCCTCCCACCCCTGCCAATCCCACCCATCTATGTCACAACAGAGCACCCAGCTTAGCTCCCTGTGCTATAGAGCAGCTTCCCACCAGCTGTCTATTTTATACATGGTATCATATATATGTGGAGAAGGAAATGGCAACCCACTCCAGTGTTCTTGCCTGGAGAATCCCAGGGAGGGCAGAGCCTGGTGGGCTGCCGTCTATGGGGTCGCACAGAATTGGACACGACTGAAGCGACTTAGCAGCAGCAGCAGCATATATATGTCATCCGACCCTCTCCCTCCCCTGCTGTGCCCACAAGACTGTTTTCTACATCTGCATCTCTATTCCTGCCCTACAAATAGGTTCATCTGTACCATTTTGCTAGATTCCATATATGTGCGTTAATATATGACATTTGTTTTTCTCTTTCTGACTTACTTCACTCTCTATGACAGTCTAGGTCCACCCCCGTCACTACCAAATGACCTCTTCTGCACTCTTCAGTCATTGGACAGCCTTTTGAACAAAGAAGGTGGTCTGGGCCCACCCAGGAGGAGCTCGCTGGCCCCCAGAGGAATAGGCATCTATTGGGAAAAGTAAGTTCCTACACCTGCACCCTAAAAGTGCAGGTGCCAGGGAGGGACAGAGGGAAAGAAGGGAGACTCCAGGTCGCATGGATGGGGCGGGGATAGGTTCCCAAAAAGGATGATTTGAGTTATGGTTTACAAGGTGTCTGAACGAGAAGTGACATTTATGACTGTCGTCTCCTTTCTTCCTGGTCTCCCTTTTATCCACCTGTTGCCACAGAGAGGCATGCTGAGCCAAATCCAACATGGGCAATTCCACAAATGGAGGCACGTGAAACAACAAAACCCAAAACATCACGTTCAGAATACATTCTGAAGGTTACAGACCACTTCCAAATGCACTTGTGGTCACCACAATACCCAAAAAGGAAAGAGGTTATGATCCTGGCTCTGTAGATAAAAAAACAAGAGTCAGAAAAGTGAAGGAACTGCTCGGGGCCACTTGACTCCGGGTGCTCTTTTTCTCTTTTTTGTCCAGGAGGTGGGAGGTCAAGCCACTTGGCTTGTGGGACCTTTCCCTGACTGGTTGGTGAAAGCAGAGTCTCAACCACTGGACTGTCAGGGAATTCCCTGCTTTGCTCTTCCCAGGATTCCTCATGCCTTCCTCCTGCCTCACTGGGTAGCTGGGGGCCTGTGTATCTCTGGGAACACCCCACGGCTCACATCGCCCAACAGATGTGCTCTCAAAATCCTCCAAGGGCTCCAGGTGTCAGCCGGGCTGTCCAGCCCCTCCCCTCCACTTGTACCCACCTCGGCACCTGGGTGCAGCTTCTCTTCCTGCCTAGAATGCTTGTCCTAGGCACTAGTGCACACCCCTGTCCTTTCCAGGCTTTCCATTTCCTTGGGAGGCCCAAACCCAGTACAGAGTCCCGAGGTCCTGGTTCAAGGTCCAGCTCTGCTAACTCATTGCTGTGTGACACTGGGCAGGTCACTTCCCCTCTCTGGGCCTCCATTTCCTCACTTATGAAACAGGGGAGTTGAACCCAGTATTTCCTAAGTTCTTCATATGGTCTAAGTCTAAGCCTTCTGGCCCCTCTCCCCCTGCCCTGCTCTCCCTGAGTCTCACCATCCCCAAGAGCTTCTCATTCCTCCACATCCTTCTCCAAAGGGCTCCCATTTAATCATTCAGCTTAACCTTAATCTCCTTAAGAGCAGAGGTGGGTATTTGTGGCACGTGCTGACCAGGTGTTCTGCCAAGACATTCTGATTGATTAATCAGTAATCCACTGACCATGTCTCTTTACCTTAGTAAACTCTTTATCATTAATCTTCCCTCTTTAGTTTCCCAAGCTGCAAACCCAGAGGCCTGCAGTGACTGGGAGTCTGGTGGGTTACTGCCTCTCTATTCACCCTTCCTGCTGTCTGTGTATGACTGTGGGGTGGGTGCCTGTGCCTGCCGCAGTGTCTACAGGGTGGGGATGAGGCCAGCTGTAGGCTTCAAATGCCTCATAACCCATTCTGTCTCTGAAGCCCATCACTGCCATGGCCATCAAAAAAAAAAAAAAAAAAANTACAGAAGCAAAAAAAAAAAAAAAAAAAAGACAGCACACACCCTTTGCCTTCCCCCCTTCAAAGAACTTCATATCTCATCTGGTCCCTTAATACCCTTTGTAAGGCAAAGCCAGGATTGTTTCCAAGGGACCTGTACGAGGCCACTCTGAATTCAGCAAAAGCTAGGACAGGCTCTTTTTTTTCATGTTTAAATTAAAAAAAATTTTTTTCCATTTATTTTTATTAGTTGGAGGTTAATTACTTTACAATATTGTAGTGGTTTTTGCTGTACATTGACATGGATCAGCCATGGATGTACATGTGTTCCCCATCCTGATCCCCCCTCCCGCCCAGGACTGACTCTTTGTCAAGCTCCGGTTTGCACAGGATGACTGCCTGCCTGGTTGTGCAGCCACATCACTTTCCCTTCAAGAACTTAAGTCTGAGAGGCCAGGTTAGTACACACACACACCCCCACTCACCCATCCCCTTACAAGATATGTAGCTACAGGAAAAGCTAATAAGCCAGATGATCAATAGTGTGGTTGAGGATCCATAAAAAGGCCTTGGGCTTCCCGGGTAGTTCAGTTGGCAAAGTATCCACCTGCAGGAGACCTCAGTTCCATTCCTGGGTCAGGAAGTTCCCCTGAAGAAGGAAAAGACTACCCACTCCAGTATTCTTGGGCTTCCCTGGCGGTTCAGATGGTGAAGAATCTGCCTGCAGTACCAGAGACTTAGGTTCTATCCCTGGGTTGGAAGATCCCCTGGAGGAGGGCATGGCAACCCAGTCCAGTATTCTTTCCTGGAGAATCCCCATGGACAGAGGAGCCTGGTGGGCTACAGCCCATGGGGTCGCAAAGAGTCCGACATGACCGAGCGACGAAGCACAAAAAAGGCCTTAGAGATCAACTGCAACCCACTCACCGTAAACTGAGACTCAGAAAGGACAGGATTTGCCCCAAGTTACAGAACTAAATGGAGGCTAGAGCCCAGGTCTCTGGACTCCAGGTCCAGTGCTCTTGCCGCTGCTTGCACAGCTAGCAAACATGGCAAAGAAGGGAGCAGAAGGAGCTCAGAGAGCGGGGGCCACAGGTGGGATGCTCCTCCACATTAGTCTGGGAGTTCAGAGTTCCTCTGGGAGGAGGAGGGCTGAGGCCGCAAGGGGCGGCAACCTCGGAGTAGCCAGGGAGTCTGGGTGGTGAAGGCGGTCATGGGGGTGGCCGGGGTGCGTGTTGTTTTTCTTTGCTCTATGTGTCCCTTTGACTATCACCGTGTCTGCTGAGTGGCAGAGGTCCAGGTGGAGCACCTTCCAGACCTGAGAAATGGGGGCCTGTGGAAAGGGTGAGGGTGGCAACGCCCCTCTCGCTGGGGCACTCCTCAGACAGCTGGGTGGAGCTGACCACCGGTCCGCCAGCGGCCCAGAGCCCCTCCCACGGGGGAGAGGACACTGGTGGGGCGGGGCTGCGGGTGCCCGGGGGTTTTCTCCCTGTGCTCCACCCCATGCATTCTTCTGAAGGGCAGGCTCAGTGGCTCTGCCCTCCAGGAGGCCTCGGAGCTCTCAGGCCTCTGTTCCTAGAAGTGGAGGTGGGCGTGGAAGCTGCAGGGGAGAGGGGCCCATGGACCCCTTCAACTCCACCTGGGCGCCGGGCTTGGCTCGCACCTCAGGCTGGCGAGGGGCGGGGCGACCCCTGGGAGGTCGCGGAGTCGGGCGTGGGTGGCTCGCTCTTAGGTGCAGGCCGGGAGATGCGAGCGTTGCCCCGCCTCGGCTCCGCCCCCGCCCGTGGGGAGGCGCGCCGAGCGCCCGGCCAGGTGCAGCGAGCCGGCGTTCCAGCGGCACACGCGCCCGGGAGGAGTCCAGGTCTCCTCCTGCGAGTGCTGCGTCCCTGCGCCCTTTCTGCCGGATGCCCGGGACCCTCGGAGCCCAGGTAACCGAGGGCAGGACTGCCCCATGACGCGCGTCCTTCCGCCTCCCCGTCCACGCGCACCCCACTTCGGCCGCCGCCCCCTCGGGCTCCAGGCCGGCGGCGGCTCCCCGGGCGGCTCTTGGAAAGTTTACCCCGGGACGGCCCTGCACCCGGCGGCCGTGAAATGCAGCCTGTTTTGCCCCCACTGCTCCGCCCAGGAGCCCATGTGAAGGTGGGACGGCCGCTGCCCTGGCACAGGGTCCCCGCTAAGATCCGAGTGAAGTTTGCCTTCTAGCTTTTCCCGTCTCTCGCTCTTCTGAGCGTTTGCGTCCCGCCCCCTTGTTCCTCGATTCCTTAAGAAAAATATATATCCTTAGATGGGGAAGGCAGAGTTGGCGATTTCTTAAGGGATGTTTACGTTTGTGCTTCCCGCCTCCCCCGTCCAAGATGTATGATAGGAGACTCGGCTGAGCCCGACCGGGTGCGGGTGAGGGGGCAGCCCTCTGCCATGTTGGGGTGGGGGTGGGGGTCACCGTCAGGGCCCTGAATAACCGAGTGCCCAGCCACGAGGAGTTCCGGGCTTCTATCTTGCCTCCCTCAGGCCACAGCCCTGCTGGGCATCCTCCACAGCCCCCCTCCCTCCTCTTCCCTCTCCACTCCCCTCCTCCCTCCCCGACTCCTCAAGATGATCAGTAAGGAGAGAGGGTGGGCAGAGGCAGGGATTAGAGCGAGCTCTATAACCCTTGACCATTTGAACAGAATGGGCTTCCTCTTGCTGAGGCTGCGAGGAGCGCTCAGCTGTGTGCGAGGAAGAGGGTAAAAGATGGTCCTAACTACGCAGAGGCAGAGAGAACAGGTGGAGGAGGTCAGAGGATCAGAGAGGAGCTAACAGCACTCACATGGGCACTTCCCTGAATTCACCCACCACCACCACCCCCGCCCCATTAACCAGTGAGGAAGTAGGTCTTTTTCCATTGTCAGATAGGCAAAAACGGAGGCTCCAAGAGGTTAAATAATTTGCTGGAGAAAAGTGGTGGACTTGGACCACAAACCACAGTCACATTGTTGGTTCTCTATTTTGCTGGGCCCCTGATCATCAAGGGTTCATTTCTTCTCTCCCTCTCTTGAGGTTCTTCCCCTGAAAGGGGTAGGAGCACACCTCCAAGAAGAATTAAAATCTTATCGGGAAGCTCTTCCAAGAGAGGGCAAGCTCCTTGCTAAGCTACAAGGTCTGCAGGAGGCAGAGACCTGCTTTGTTCACAGCTGTAGCCCTGGTGGCGCTAGTGGTAAAGAACCCACCTGCCAGTGCAGGAGACAAGAAAGCGGGTTGGATCCCTGGATCGGGAAGATCCCCTGGAGGGGGGCATGGCAACCCACCGCAGTATTCTTGCCTGGAGAATCCCATGGACAGAGGAGTCTGGCAGGCTACAGTCCATGGGGTCACAAAGAGTCAGACACGACTAAAGTGACTTAGCATACACACATAGCCATAATACCTGATGGTGCCCTACAAGAATGGAATGAATTAACCTGAAATAGCAAAGACTCTTTTCCAGCTGACGGATCTTCGCCCTTGTGGAACAGAAAGGGCATTCTGATAAGTCAGACCAGAAAGGTGTCCAATGCCATTCCTGAAGGCCCTTGAAATCTTTACCCAACTTGTTTTTTTTTTTTTTTTTTTTTTAAAGCCAGTGAGCATGTCCTTAATCCCATCTGTCTTTCCAGACAGCTGGCCTTTCACTTTACCCTCCATCCACTTCTGGTTAGGCTAGGAGAAGCAGCAGGTAGTGGGTTACATGTCACCCATGGCCTTGCTCTAGGTCGGAGGCAGAGGGCCTTTGGCCCATCTATACCAGGAAATCTTATTTGGAAATGCTAGTCTTCATTCCCTTCTTCCTCTCCTTACCATTCCATGGGACCACCATGGATTTAGGGAAAAGGACTCAATTTCTTCATCTGCAAAATGGGAACAATAGACTCTGCATGGTTTCATGCAAGAGTATGTAGTCCAAATGGCTCTGTAAGCTGCAAAGCAAACTGAGTGGTATTTCCTCATATGTTTGTCTGTTGGCCTGACCTCCTGAGGTGGGCTGTAAATTCCTTCCAGGAAGTGATCACACAACTTGATGTCCCTCTAAGAGCACTCCTCATAATGAGCACACAGTAGGTTCACATGAAGTACCTGTCAATCAAAAATAATCTCTAGAGGAAGAGAAATGGCTAAAAATTGGTGAAAAATCACCCCTCTCTAGCCATGTAAGGAGAAGGGATACTCTACAACACAGGGGAGATTCTAGGAGGGACGGGAGGGGTCTGAGATCCAAGGCTGGCATCGAGTGGAAAGGCAGGGTGTAGCAGATTTTCTATGGCAGTGCCCTGAAGACATCTGAAGCTCTGCCAGGAACCCTATAACCTTGGATTCCGTAGCAGATGTGGTGTCTGCTTTGGCCTGAGAACAGACCAGAATACCCTGAGCTGGCCAGTTCTGCTGCTTGGGGAAGGCCACTGAGAGCATAGCTGGGATTCAAGGCCCTGCACTTTGCCTCCACCATCACCCTCACCCTTCACACACACACACACCAGTGGTTCCTGCACTCATAGGCCCTGCCCGGCTTCCTACTGCCATTCCTGACTCTTAATGAGAACTCAGTGGAGTAAAAGCTTTAGACCCAGAATATCTCAGCTGGCATAAGCCTTAGATTTTACAGTCTTACACCTCTTCTGTGCTCTCCTTTCCACAGCACTATCACCATCTAATATCCTGTATGTTGTTTGTTGTTGTTCAGTCGCTAAGTCGTGTCTGACTCTTTGCGACCCCATGAACTGCAGCACCCCAGGCTTCCCTGTGCTTCACTATCTCCTGGAGTTTGCTAAAACTCATGTCCATTGAGTCAGTGCTGCCATCCCACCATCCCATCCTGTCACCCCCTTCTCCTCCTGCCCTCAGTCTTGCCCAACATCAGGGTCTTTTCCAAAGAGTCAGCTCTTTGTATTAGGTAGCCAAAGTATTGAAACTTCAGCACCTGTCCTTCCAGTGAATGTTCAGGTTTGATTTCCGTTAGGATTGACTGATTTGATATCCTGTATATTTCACCTTAAAAATCTTATCAGCTGTCTTCCCTGTTAGATTCCATGAGGGCAGAGCTTTCAGGCTATTTTATTCACTACTCTCCTTCCAGGAGCGAGAGCAGTGCCTCGTGTGCAGTAGGTGCTTATTTCACATATGTTGAATAAATGAACACATCCAGGCCGCCCTTCCTCATTGTACAGCTGGGGAGACTGAGGCCCGGAGATGAGGAGTGACCTCTATTTCTTTTTAATTTTTTTTTATTGGAGTATAGTTGCTTTACAGTGTTGTGTTTATTTCTACCATACAGCAAAATGAATCAGTTATAGTCTTATATACATCCCCTCTTTTTTGGATTTCCTTCCCATTTAGGTCACCATGGAGCAGAGATCCCTGTACTATACAGTAGGTTTCTCAGTACTTATCTATTTTATACCAGTGTGTGTGCTAAGTCACTTCAGTCATGTCTGACTCTTT